GGCTCCCGGCGTAAACCCGTCCGACTGGCTGGGTCACTCCCGCCCGGCGCCCCCCCAGGACAAGGCCGGCTCTCCCGGCGCGCCGCCGCTGCCAGTCCCCCGCCAGGCTGGCGGAACAAGCGGCACCTCGCCCCCGGCGTGTCCCGGCAGAGCCTCTGCACAATCTGGCCGCCCGAGCCGGCCGGGAACCGAAATCCCCGCCGCAGCGGCCGGCGCTAAAGTTGTCGAAACAGCCTTGACTTTATCTAGCCTCCTGCCCTCTCATTTCTCGTCTTCCTTGCCTCACTCGCCCGCACGCATTCGCACGCACCCTGGCGGAGTCCCTCTGGGGTGGTGGTTCATCTCCCGCCCGGCCCCTCCCGGCCCCGGGCCCGCGGAGAGCCGCGCGCAGGCTCGGAACCTGCCTCCCACCGCGCCCCGGACCTAGAACCGAGCCTTAGCCCCCGCGAAAGTGAAATGTTCCAGCCTCAGGCCAGAGCCCAGACCTGCGCAAAGTGGACTATCCTAGGCGGAGTCTGAGGGGCTCAGAGTTAGCCCAACCTGCCCACAAAGAGCCCCCTCATCCCGGAGACAAAGCGACCTCTCTGAATGCTGCCCCTGAGACCCTCTCCAGCGCGACCGAAGCCCCCGGAGAAGCGCCGGTGCCGGTGGGCTGTCACCCCGTGCCCCGTCCACGAGATTGGGGGAGAGCACAAGGGGGAGCCTGAAAACAGAAAGATATATCGCAGTGTTCAGAAGGGAAAGGGAGGAGGGTGAGGGTGATCCGTTCACAGAAGCCCAGTTTCTGATTTCAAGTAAAGGCAAGACTTCCGCCGCTGCGCGGGCACACAGGCGTCTCTGCCCATAGTCTCAGCTGCTCCAAACGCCAGCAAAGAAAAGAAGAAAGGAAAAGGAAAAGTCGAGGCTGCTATGTATTTACTTGGATCATCTAAGGCCTCCTACCTCCACCCTGTCCCCTAGACTCATCTGCTCATTTCACTGGGGGTGGGGGCGGTGAAGGAGGATGCCGCGGTTCCCAGCGCCTCCATCGGGCGGATCTTTCGCTCTCTGGCCTCCCCAGCTGTCCTAAGAAGTCGAGCTCTGGGGCCCTGAGTTTTAAACCGGGCGTCAAAGAGGCGCGCTCCGCGGGCCCAGGGGGTTCTCGGCACCGGAGGCGGTCGGCAGATGCGCCAGGATTCCCACGGTCGAGCAGCTGAGCGCCGGCCGGTGTGAGGGCGGGTGCTCGCGACCCAGGGCCAGCGGGCGCAGCGCGTCCGCGACGCCACCACCGCGGGGTGTGTCCACCCCCAGCTCAGCGGGAGAAGCTGCTCAGAACTTCTTCAGAGGGCTAGGAGTGAGCCGGGCAGCCGGGATGAGTGCTCCCAAGCGGAGCCTCTTACAGGGAGGCGAAACCGAGCTCAGAGCAAAGGCCCTCTCCAAATAAGTCCACAGAGAAAGGGGGGGATTAAAAGAAGGGATATTAAACATCAGAGAGGAAGTCGTGATTTGGGACCCCAGAGTCCCGCTGTGAGACACGCGGAATGCACAGGCGCGTGCCCCATTGCCCGCGATTGTTAAAAAAAAAACCCACGCTCGTCTCTTCGCCCCACTCTCAGACACCGCCAAAAGTGGGCAGAAAAAGGAGTGAAGTGGGACACGGGCTTGGACGCAGGGAAGCGAGGGAAGGAGCGTCTAGATCCTCCCTCCCCAGCTTCTCCCCTCGTTCTCCCGGCAAATCGGCGGGGGGGCGGGCGCTGCGCCGGCGAAAGTTTGTCCCACCCGCATTTCGCAGCTGGCTGCAAGGAGAGGAAAGGGAGGGTCGAGATCGGACGCTGTGGCCGCGAGGATGACTGAGCCGGCACCGCGCTTACCTCGCAGTCCTCGTACTTGATATTATCCGTCAGTTTCCAAAGCATTTTCATGGATCGTTGTGAACGGATCTGCCCCTGTCCGCTTCGCACCCAAGTGGAGCCACTCTCTGGGTGAGCGCAAAGTGCCGGCTGCCGGCGGTGAGCACAGGAGGAGGAGGAGGAGGGCGAGGAGGAGGTGGAGGGCGAAGAGGAGGAGGAGGAGGAGGACGGGGAGGGGGAGGAGGAGGAGGAGGGTAAGGAGGAGGAGGAGGAGGGCGAGGAGGAGAAGGGCGAGGAGGAGGAGAGAAGGAAAAGAGCTCCCGTGTGCGCTCGGAGATCTCCCTCTAATGGTAGAAACTTTTCCTTTTTCCAGCTCTTTACCAACAGCCTAATCGCCTCATTAGCATATCAACAATAGTCCAATTGCTCGCCAGTACCCCAGTCTGCCGCCGGCCGCTCCGACCCAGGTATAAAGGCCTCTCCAAGCTGCGAATCTACTCCTAGAGCGCACGCCAGCCTGCTGGACGAAAGCTTCCCGGAGCTCCACCTCGACCTGCGGCTCCACCGTCCCCCACCCCACCCCAACTTCGTCCCATTGCCCGCTCCCTCTCTGCCGGCTTCCTCCTCGTCCGAGATGCTCTCTGCAAAACTCCGACCTACGCAGGGTCCGAAAGCAGCCAGGCCTGGGGACCCCTCACCCCCACCCCCGCCGCTGCCACTATTCGACATGCTCTTTCGGCCCCGTCCAATTTTATTAGAAATCATTATCCTTTTCGCAATTAAACATAACCACCAAACCAAGACCAGCGATGTCACTCCAGGATATTTTCCCGACAAGAGATCACCTCGCCAGCGGCCGCTACCCCCTGGGAGTTTTATTGGCTGTGCGCTTTCCCCCAGGTCGGAGATTTTCGGCTGGGGTTTGCGATCTCTTAATTGAGGCGTGTAAAATAAAAGTGTACCCTGAAGAGGTTACTCGACAGCTCCAGGGGTTAAATGATGTTCCTCCCGTATCTAGGAAGCTGGGGCCAACAGACAATTCAACTTGATGTTTGGGCTAAGATTTCCTAGATGCAACGTGGAAGAGAATACAGAACTCCTGTGGAGACGCACCGCGGCTTCTGGAGTTCAGCCGAAGTACAGCCCGGTGTGCCCCTGCGAATCCAGATACTGTGTCACATATGCATCCAGAAAAATCACTGGGAACCAACTCTTCTCCGTGCTAATCTGCTCCAGTTTTCCCAAGATTCCCCTTTTTAATTAAAGCAGGGAGAGTTCCTTTATGATTTAATGATACTCACGCCAGCGCGCTGGCGGCGGCAATGCCCGGCTGAGGAGAAATCTGCAGGCCCCGAGCCGCCCCCTTGTCCAAGCTGGCCAGAGTCCACGCGGGTTCTCGGGCTCCACCCGGACTGCCCCCGCTTCTGTTTCAGTACAAGTTTTTAAGAAGAAAAGGAAAGAAAGGCCTAATGTGATACGTCCAAATACAGAGTTGCTTCTCTCACTGAGCTTGTCCCTTCCTCTTACAAAAAAAGTTTCATCTGTCTTTCTCCCTGTTGAGTGCGGCAGACTCCGCAACAGCAGGTCTGGCTCAGAGGCTTCCGGCTCATCTGGGCCTGTGTTTCAAACATCTCCAGGACTCCCAAGTTCTCACAGTGCTTTCTGTATGGGGGGGAAGCTGCTTCGAATCCAAGCGTTTCTTAGCAGGTGGAAGGAAGGGAAGAGGAGGAGAGATTCCACCCTTCCTCCCTACCTCCCACCCCCACCCCACTCTAAAGCTGCGGGGGATTCTCCCTCCGAAAGAACTCCGTGACGCCACGGGCTCCCAAAAAGCTAGGGAGAAGGCTGGAGCTGGCGAGAGAATTCAGCGCCAGAGGGATGACCTCCCGGGCTCTGGGCACTCCCTCGAGCTGGCTTTCCATGCCAGAATGTGCGTACAGTCACTTGGTTGAAAGGGCTGGGGACTTGGCACCCCACTCTCCCAGAACACGATCAACTTCCAGGACTAGACCCTGTGGGCTGCCCCAAGGCCTGCTGCAGGGCACAGTAGCTGGAAGTCAGGAGCAGGCCTCCAGGAGCTGGGGTTCTGACACCCTCCTGGGGGCAGCCACCTCCCAGAGTACGGTGGCCTGTAGGCCAAATCCTAGGCCCGAAATCCCAGGTCTGTACTCCCTGCAGCGCTATACTGTTCCTTGAGGGAAGCCCTAGGTTTCGCTTTCTTTTTCTTCTGTTTGTGGGCTCGGGAAGGTATTTAAGGACCTTTCACCCTCTCCAGTGCCACCTCCACACCCTCTGTCTTGTCCCACTGCCCACTCCGCCAGGGCTGCTACACTGTTGTTGTGTTCCTGCTAAGGGTGCCACTGCATGCAGACTGAAGCCTACCAGCTCTGCGCTGCCGCTGAAGTGTGGGCGCTGATGAAAGGTCCCAGAGAGCAGCCCAGTAGCCCCCGGAGCCCGCAGAGCTGGGTCTGTGAAAGCTTTATCACCACAAATCACTCCCTTGCATGTGAAGTCTCTAGGTGATCAGGATCCCAGGCCCTAGGACCAAAGTGCCAGGCCTGCTGTTAGGGCTCAGGGACCAGGCCAGTCCTGGGGTATGGATTGGAGGAGGGAGGAAGAGCTAGTGTCTGTATGATACAGACATACAGAGAGAAATAAAGCGATCTGGGTGCGGTGGCACACGCCTGTGATCCCAGCACTGGGGAGGCTGAGGCAGGAGGATCATTGCAAGTTCCAGACCAGCCTGGGCTAAAAAGTGAGCTCAAGGCGAGCCTGAACTGCACAGGGAGACCCTGTCTCAAAAAGACAAAAAGACCAAAAAGAAAAAATAAAAAAGAAGAGAAATGAAAAGAAACAAACAGACCTTGGGCCAGAGTGACCTATACTATCTGGTTATCTCTAGCTACTGAGAAGCCTAAGCCCCACAGGCCAAGCCTGGTAGATCCACTCCATTTGGGCCCCAAAGCTGTTCACCCTACCCAAGATTCAGACCTCCTGTCACTTGCCAAATCATGAGCTCTCGAGAGCTAGGCAGTCCTCTCTCTCTGTCCCCCTTTTCAAAACAACCTCCGTGCTTCCAAACCACAGTCCACCTCCAACCAAACCTGAGCTGTGGGTGAAAAGTGCCTCGAATTTCACAGCAAGGTTTGCATGAATTAAGGGTAAAACCCCTAAAGACTTCTGATGAAGAGCCATCCTAATGTTCAGCCCCCAGAGAAGAGAGTTAGAAAGGGCCTTACATCCACAAGGGTGGGGAGAAAATGGGGTGGATTCCTAGGATTTGTTCTGGTGTGGGATTTGTATCCTTAAATGACAAAGGGAGTCTAACTTTGAGAATGAAGTTCCATTCTGTGAGGTTTAAGGGGAGGGGGGTGTAATGTAAAAGTGATCACTTTTAGTAAAAGTCATAAATAAAAAGGAAAAATAAAAATACCAAACGCTTTCCTTTCTCCAACTCTAGGGAATGTAGTCAAGATCAGACTTCTCTGAACTTTACTTTCAATGCCCTAAAATTGAAACAAACAAACAAAACCTTACTGTAAGAGGAACAGAGCTCCAATTTTTTTTCTTTGAGAATATCGCGTTTGGTTCAAATTGTCCTGCAAGCTTGGGGCACACGGAATCTGGCTCTAACCAGGCCTTAGTTGGCTGGGGTGAAAACAAGGCCCCGCGGTTCCAGTTATGAAATCCGCTGCTAACTCACCAACCTGGGCAGAACCGCCCTGGCTTCCCGTGGGGAAAATGTCTGGAAGTTAAAAGGAGAGCGCCGGAGGGTTGTTCCCCGGCTGGGGTCGGGGTCTGCGGCTCAGGATACTGTGCTGGGGCCTTGTGATGCCGCGGCCTTGCAAGGTCCAGCTTGGTAGGAGCCGATTCCGCAAATCCGAGACCTTGTTTCATGACCCACAATCCATAGCCCAACGGCGAAAATCCACTCCAGGAAGCACACGGCCAGAGAGTGGCTAAACTTTGGAAAAACTCTTCTGAGTATCTCTCAAAGGAACACGAGCCCCGCCGCGACCCCACTGCCTGAGCGCCCCTCCACTCTGCCCACAACTTAGGTCCCCCAAACCCGGGGACTCCAGAGAGACAGGTGCACCCAAAGCCCACCCCGAGGCGCAGCCTGGAGTCCGGGGAGAGGCCAGAGGCACCGCGAGCTGGCAGCGTCCCCCGCAGCACACTGCACCCCAGCCCCGTGATCTCCCCGAACCCGGATGAGTCAGCCACCCAAGTTTCTCTCCGGGCTGGGGTGGGGGTGGGGAGGGAGGCCCGGGGAAATGGCTGTATCGCAAACCGCAAGTGACCCTCGGGGCCACCTGTGGAGCGCCGGACTTTTCCCGGCCCCGGGCCCGCGGGCGGGCGGCGCGCTCTTGCCCGGAGCGCGCCTCGTTTTTCCGGTCCTCTCTCCCCGAGCGCCCAGGGCGCTGCCAGGCGGGCCGCACCTACAGCTCCGGGCCCTGGGCCACGGCGCGTCCTCCCCGCCTCCCGCTCGCGGTCCCCTCCCGCGTCCACGCCCGCCCCCTCCCCCGACCGCGCGAACCCCCGTACCTGCCAGTCCCCCATTTTGGCAAGTATGGACATCGCGGCTCGGCGCTGCTGGCGACGGGTCCCCGCCGGGCATGGGCTGGAGGGCTCGGCCGGCGCGCTCCCTGGAATCGCTTTGGCAAATCCTCCTTTTTACCTGCTCACCAACATCTCACCTGGTCCTAAAGAGCTGGGTTGCTACCTGCCGACGCATGCGCGCTGGCCCAGGAATTCACTCCGCCAGCCCCAGTCCCAGCACCTCGCCAGGCTGACCTGGAAAGTGATGGATTTATAGCCGCGGCAATCTCGCCATCAGCTCCAGCTTTTCCCAACAGCCCCAACCCGCTTTCCCGGTCAGTCCCTGGCCAGCCGGGGAGTGGAAGCGGACGGACGGCTGGGCTTGCTGGGCGCGACGCGGAGGGGAGTGCGGTTTCGCACCTGGGCCTGGGGCGTCAGCGCGCGCGCGCACCCCACGACTCCCCTGCCCTGGGAACTTCGGGGTCTGGGGTCTCTGCCCCGGTACCGGGTGGGGGATGGGCAGGCCCGGAGGCGGGGCCGAGCTGAGTGCACCTGGCCGCACGCGGTGGGACCGGGGCGCTGCGGGCCTTAACGGGTCGGACTCGAGGCTGCCGCCCCCGGGCCACTTCTGTGCTGGATTCCAGATCCAGTGTTGCTCAATAGGTGAAGACGTCCGTGATTCTGTTTCATTTCTGTCGTCTGGAGTCACTCCTCCCCCGCAGGCAGAGGGAGAGAAACCCTACACGCACACATTTACACGCGCGACTGCACGGGGCTCACCCTGCTGCCCGCTTCCACGGCCCCGCCCCGCCCCCACGCCCCTAGGGCTCCCGAACCCTATCTTTTCCATTAAAAACTTTTTAAAGGGGAGAAAGAGGGCGTCGGTGGCTCTGCGCTGGACAGCTGAGGTTTGGGGTTGGGGTTTGCTTTCCCACGACAGATAAGATCACCCCGGTGATTTCACCGCTGCTTCTAATTAAGGGGAGTTTTCAAAGAAGCCGTAAGATTTGGGGCTCCACAGGCGCCCCGCCCCGTCACAGCCACACCTGGCCCGAGGGAGGGAGCAGGGAGCAGGCCGAGGAGCTCCGCCTGGCCGCGCTCCCGCGGGGCCCTCGCCGCCTGGCGCTCACTCGAGAGCGGGCTCTCCTGAGCTTGGGCCGGGCGGCCGCTACAGGCCCAGTGCTCATCCCCCACTACCACCTCCAGGACTGGGAGACGAACAAAGAACCGGTTTCAAATCGTCCTCCCTGACAAGTCAGGCAAA